CCTTCTGCAGAATAAACTATTCCTAACAATCTGGCTTTCCCACCGTCTTCTCCAATCTCCTAAAGGAACCCAGGGCCTAGAAGATCATAGCTGTTAGGGCTCACCTTCTTAGCCCTAACACCTATAAGACAGCCAGCTCGTAGCTCAAGAGTTAGAGCGTTGGCCTCGGTAAATGAGCCAAAACGGCTATTCCAGTCTCCTTTGTATTTACCAATAGTTTTCGTCTGTCCACACTTCTAGCTGCTGTGCGGATGCTCACGGAGGTCGAGAATGGTTTTCGTTAGCGATCGGTGAGCATCCATCAAGTAGTAAATTCCAAAATTTGCACCATATGAATACTGCCCCGTAAACTGATGCAGAACAGGCCTGAATCATCTTAGTTGATAAGTATGGAGAACTTAGTGAATTGGAGTTGTTCGTGAAAGAATCGCTGACCATTCATCGGAGATGGTAGCAGAACCATGTACAGTACAGAAATTCTGAACTTGAGAAGAAGAATGCGACTCGATCGCTGGGACAATACTTTTATTCGCCTGACGTTTCGATCCATCCCGGCGATCGAGTCGTCTTCTTCTCAATTACTTCCTAGGACTTGCATGTTAATTGGTATTGGCAACCCCGGACTTGGTTTGCGATCAAGGAAGGAGTGTTTAAGTAGAGTTGTAATATTGGTCAATGTACGGCATAATTTCCCGATCTTTGAACACAAACATATTTTCGGTCACCTGCAAAAGCTTACACAGTAAGAAATGCCTGCTAGAGTAGAGGAAAGGCGCGCAAACGAACTCTACCACCACACAAAATCCAGACAAGAGTTATTTGAAAAACAATATTATATACTCTGTGTGCATACTATTTTTAAAGTGACAATATTTACGCGTGCGGGTACAGATGTATCTGACACACTGGCATGTAATCAATAGGGTTTTCAAGAGCATTGCCTTCACCCTCATCAAATAAACTGAAATTTATTCTTTCGTGTACTCAGGTGTACTCAGGCCTATTACAACATCGTATTGGAGACTCAAATAAATGTCACCTTTTAGCTTTAAAAAGTGCCGTGTACTGATAGGTCTCAAATCGAACAAAGCAATTTTACAATTTCTGTTACCCTCTCATGAGGTCGGTAAGCATATATCAGAGCGTGCAATGCAAGAACCTGTGATGTAACTAATCAAAAATGTTAAATGCATCACGAACATATGGAGCATGCCTCGATATGCGCTTAGAAGGAATGTGCTGATTTAAACTTCGCATGTGCCTAATTCTGGCATCAAATCAATCGGATGAAGGCTTCCGACGTTTTGGTAAAGGCAATGGAGAACTATGTTGGGTTAGCTATATGTACTTATTTTCATCCGTTTAGTGGAACGCCCAACTTAGCTTGGTAGCAAATGTTGACCACTGGAAGAGTTCATTCTCGACCATAACCATACAGCTTTGAAGCTATTTTCAAGTCCACTTTCGCTGATGCTCGGATCATTGCTTGTCCATACAGGGGAAATCATCAGCGTCGAAAGGTGTTGCAGGGGCTAAGCGGGGGTTGCACTTAGTGCGCTACAATGATCGGGTCGCATCGCAAATTGTGATAAAAGACAGAGCGCACCAGAGTAAGCGACGTATTATGCATAGAACCCAGCAATGCCGTCTCAGACAGCAGTGGCCACCGACGAAGCCGGGATTGGTGTTGAGTGCGTCCTGTCGTGCCCGTGAGTGTGTCTGTGAGATAGCAGCTGATTTTGTATGATTATGAAGCAAGTTCAACTAGTGTGCCGGGGGCGGCGTGTTCAAATGGTCCCGAAGCCACGATTGTGTGTGCGCGCGATCATGTAGGTCAAGGCTCTTCAGGCCCGCAGGTTGGATACAGTCACCTGCCTGACGTTGAGACAGTGGGCATTGAACCTGGAAGTTGGACAACATAGGCTATTCACCACGGTGTTGCCTTCGAGGTAGAAAAGGCAACAGGGAGCATTAAACGACATGCGAACTAGCTTAGACGTAGATTCATCACGAATGACTAAATAGCCCTCGATGTTCTATATGATACTTTTAAGGTCTCGATTCACACAATAGACACAAAGTCGACACCATCGC